GCTTAGCATAGCCCTCTGGATAAGGCATCTTTCTAAGTACCTGAATATCTCGGGTTGTCAGTGTCTCCAGATTATCAGGGTTTACCCAATATTGAGCCATTTGGGCAAAATTTATCCATACGAATCAAAGAGAAGAAACTGCCTAGCTTGGTTGGACAGTGGGGATAAAACTGACATCTTTTGAAAGTCATTGTGAGAAACCAATCAGGCAAGCAGACAACATATCTCCTTGCCCAGGAGGAAAGTAAACAAAGAGCACGTCTTACTTTTTACACGCAAATGCAGATGACACTTGGAAGACAAGGTTTTTTGCAAAGCAAAGCTGCCCCAAAATGTGCCAGAGGACTCAGTGCGTTATCGGTGATGGTAAACCTAGTAGCGATGTTTGCTTCACTAGAGAATCGTTTTCAGAATGATTCTTTAAAAAGCTATGTTCTGAGGCCAGGCATTTTCAGCTGAATGTTTTATTACAATGAAGAAGTCAGGGCGCTGTTGCTTCTGGACAGTTCCCAGGCTTACCTTTCAGTTGAATCACAAACCAATGAAGATGGTCCGATAAAGTCATTTTCTTTTTCTTTCTTTTTCCTTTTTTTTGGAAATAGTAAGGTTTTTAAGCCACATTGAGTTTAATATTAATCTACACAAAGTTATTCCTTGTAATCATCTTCAATGGAAATTATCTATAGATTATATAGTTAGCCATTTAGGATGAAAATGGAAATAAGTATAAAGCCCTCTTCAATTTTTCTTATAACCTAGTAGTAAAAGCATACATTGAGCCATGTTTTCTTTTATAAAACTCTACAAAATTAAAGTTTTCTCTTTTAAACCCCTAATACCCTGATGCCATCTGTAGTTACATTTCGGCTAATATGTTTGAAACACTAAGTAAAAAGAGAAACTATATAAAATCTAAAAGACATTTTCTTTACCCTAAACATTTCAACCTTGATTCACTCAAGGAATCAAGGTGTGATCCTGAGCAGCGAACGACTTGATGGGTGGAAGCAACTTGAAGAAAATCTTATAATTTTGAATAAGGTCATGATGAGCAAGACAAAGAAGGAAAAGGAATTTCTAAAATTAAAACCTACAACCCCAAAATGTAATTTCTAACTGGACCAAGAGTTAGGATAGAGGAAAACAAATAACTATAGCAACTGCATAGGAAATCTTTGCAGAAAAGTTTTCCCGGGACCAGCGGCCTCCTGGAAGCAGAACCCTCCGAAGGGAAAGAGTTCCTGCACTTTCACCACCCGAAGGCTCCAGAACCAGGAGCCCAACTCGCCCCAGCGGAACCAGCTGGGGCGCCGTGGCCTCGGTGGGCCTCAGGGCTGCGGGCCTCAGCGCGGCCCCGTACCTGC